TTGAGATTTTTTTAAAAAATGTTAAATAAAATTGATTTTTGATATAAACTTATAAATAGATTATTTTAAATAATATTAGACTTTATTCCTTATATATAAATATTTTTAATTTTTCTACTATGTATTTATTTTTAATTATGTTCTCATTTTATCATATAAAATATACTAAATTAAATAAACATAGCCCTAATTTAACTTCCACGTCATTTAATTCTCATACATAAATATATATATATATATGTATGAAAATAGAATATTGTGGTGGCTGCTACGTTGTTGTGCATGTGAAACTTCAGTTGGCAACGTATGCTTCTGTCTTGTCCACGTGTATGTACCTCAACGGCTGTTCATATATGAATATTTGTGCATACTATAATAAAAATAATAATAATAATGTTGTCGCGGAGTTATTTCCCATATATGCCCTCATGTCATTATTGATGCGAGCAAATGCAAAACCACAGAGGCGTATTACTCCTTCCGTTCCACGTAATTTGTCCATATTTTTTATTTTCGTCCATCCCACATAACTTGTCATTTTTAGTTTTAGAAATATATTTATACACTTTAATCATATTTTAAATTTTAAATTTTATAATTTTCTTAATTTTAATTAAACTATTTACTTATCTTAATCTTAATCTATAATTATTTTTACTAAATAATAATTATTTTACTAATACACTTCTTAATTACTTACTAATTGTACTTTATCTAAATTCTCGTGTCTACAGTAATATACCCATATTACATGGGATGGAGGGAGTATTACTATTAATCCCTCCATCTCGTTTTTACTCAAATATAGTACTCTCCCGTCTCAATACAATAGTCCTATTTATTATTTTTGTTCGTCCTAAAACAATAGTCTCATTTTCATAAATAATCATATTACTATAAAATTACCCTACTTTTTACACTAATACACTCATAAAGGCAAAAAAGTCTTTACCCGTACTTTTTACCCACTATTAATATAATATCAATATTTTTTAAATTCCGTGCGAAACACAACTCAAATTATAGTTTGGGCCAAAGAGAGTATTTCTTTTTATATAAATTAAAAAATAATACTATTTTATTAACTATGAGAAATATAAGTAGGTTATGAGGGTTATCTGACCGGTAACTCTCAAACTATAAAAATAATAAAATTAGAATTTTATTAGTTTGTCCCTTCAAGTAGAGGTGATAATTTGGGTTAGCTCGATTTTTCTTATGTTAGGCCGACCTGACTATACTGGGCTAGCACGGCCTAATTTGAAATCGAACCTAGAAAAGTCGGCCTGAGAACGACCTGATTTAAAGAAGCGTCAGTGCGGGCCTATTTTTTTTATTATTATTTTTATATTATTTTATTTGTTTTTTAGCTTTAATTTAATTTAGAAAAGAATATATTTTAATAGTGAAAATGAGGAATTGAAATCACAACCAAACATATATAAGATTTTTATCATCAAACTATGTTGTAATTTTTTTTTATTTCAAAAATTAATGCATATACATTAATTAAAATAATATTAATTTTAAAAACTGGTCCGGGCCAGACACGGTCCGAAAATTTTCGGATCTATTTTTGGAGGCCCATGAACGGTTTTATGTTAGAATCTCGGATCCCAGAAAAATTTAAAAAGACAATATTGAATCGGTAAAAATGAGACATTTTGCTCTCCAAAATTTTACTACTAGTTCCATCACTAATGGGTGAAGGTGTGTAAAATAGTTTTGATATTTTTACCTTTACAAATAAATATATATATATAGTATTTATATATAAATTATTTTTACTATAATAAAATATAGATATCTTTAAATAGAATATTGAGTTGGGACGGAGAAACATCCACTTAAAAATATTTACTTTAATGAGCGACAATTTACTAAATATTGTATTTTAATGATATCGAGGATAGTCTTAGTATGTAAAGACGATTTTACATGTATCATGTGTAAAATTAATATAAAGTAAAAATATATACTACAAGTTAATTTAAAGGGCATACATAATCATAAAGAATAGTCGGGAATAATTAAAAGTATAATTAGGTAATAATAACAAATCGATGCTCTACGTACTGGTAAGATTTCAATTTTGAATTTTTTATTTTAAATAGTAAAATTTTGAGTGTAAATGTTTGATTTGATTTGATTTTTTATTTTTTTAAAAAAAATTAAAATAGTAAAACTAAATGCAAAATCTTACAAGTAAACATAGCTAATATTTTTAGTAATTTTTTTTTTCTTTAAAATTTTTTCTACAACATTGCGAAATTAGGATTGAACTCCATTCATCGATGATGTAAGAAATAGCCTACCTATGTGAGCTATAATCTTTCGAGTATTTTAATAATAGTTGGTAGTATATAGTTGTCTAAAGATAAAATTACTCTTACTAAAAGTATTGATTTTATAATAATATGATTGTAAATAAATGTAAAAGTACGAATATTCTCATTTGTGATATAATTGATAGTTACTAATACGAGAATGTATGAGTTTGTTTAGACAAGAGGTTTTTGGAAATTTGAAAGTTTGAAAAAAAAAGTAAAAAGTTAGTATTTGATTTAATGTTTTGTTACAGGAAAAATATATTTGATGTAATATTTTTGAAAAATAAATAGTGTCAAATTAATAAAAATGTATTGTGTAAACAGAGCAATAATATTTTTAAATAGAACATACAAAAATAAAAGTATGTAAACTTTAAAGTTAAATGGTGAAAATATTAATAGGTAAACTGTTTTTTTAGTCTCGTAACTGGACTCCCTTGTCATTTTAGTCATGTAACTGGACCCCCTTATCATTTTAGTCCCGTAAGTGGAGCCCGTCGCAAACTAGTCCCATAAGTGAAAATTTTTTATTTTTTTAGTCCTCCGGTGCCGGAGATGCCCACGTGGCTCGCCGGAGGTGACGTGTCCGCCAGGTGTCACTAACGTGGGACACGTGGATTTTTTTATTTATTTTATTTCATTTTTTTAAATTTTTTAAAAAACTTATTTTTAATTTATTTTAAATTTTATTTGTATTTTTTTATTTTTTTTATTTAGTCCAATTAAAAAAAATTAAAAAATAAAATAAATCCACGTGTCCGCCAGGTGTCGCTGACCTGGCGGGACACGGGCGTCTCCGGCGCCGGAGGACTAAAATAGCGAAAATTTTTCACTTATGGGATTAGTTTGCAATAACCTCCACTTAGAGGACTAAAATAATAAAATAGTCCAATTACAGAACTAAAAAAAATAGTTTAGGTCCGTAGTTGGCTTTCTAGTTGGGCCAATATTTCAACAAAATATAATACCCCATGAAGATGTGTTTTGAATAGACCAATATACTTATGTATTTGTCTTATCTACAACAAACATACACACACAAGTACAATTTATGTTTGTCTAACGTTGGATGTTATGGGAACTTTAATGTTAAACTAGAATTGGCGATCCCTTAAAAAGTTCTTCAAAATTGTATCAAATTTATCTGTAATTTCAGGAAACCGCTTCAAATCTCCTAATTCGTAAATATTTTTTATGATTTCATAAATTTTATGTCTAATCTTTTCGACGGTCTTTATTTCAAGGTCTTTTACTTACATATTCCCGACTTGCGAATGAATTTCAGGATTTCTATTTTTAAACTCGTGAAATTGATTATATATATATATATTTATTTCTCTTATATTTATGCTCAACGAATAGTAAAAATAATTCTTAAAACCAGAATAAATAAACTATTTTTGAATAAATTTACTATTTTTTGAGAAAAAATATAAAAAAAAATTAAATATATTTGCAATTTTAAAAGTTTTGAAATAGAGATTTCGAAATTTATTCGCAGTTTGGATAAGTACGGCTGTTAAACATTGCAGCAAATTAATTATTTGATTATTTTTATAATTATAATTTGATAAAATATATAATATATATCACTTTATAAATAATAAAATTTAATATTATACAAATAAATAAAACATATAAATATTTATTTTTTATTAATACACTATTATTAATTTCATAAATTCAATTTAATACATATTTATATCATTACATACTATATTATCTTATCAAATCAATACACATTAAACTTTCCAAAACTCAAACCAAATCTACAAATCTTAAAAAAAGCACAAACATTCAAATTATCCTAAAATTCAAGTCTAATTCAAACGGAAACTCAAATTCCCCAAATTTTCTCAAAATTAAAATAAATAAAATATTCCTATAATAAATTAGGTTATAGCCAAATTAGGTTATAGCCATGATTTAAAAATAAAATTATTATTATTATTATTATTATTATTATGGGTGTCAATTCGTGTTTTCAGTTGTGTTTTGTCAGGTTGAGTTATGGGGTAACACAAAAAATGTCAACTATAATCAGAAATTTGACTCAAAACTCTAGCATAATACTTTTAGGTCAGGTTAAGGATTTAGTTTCAGATCACCCAAAATCTAAACAAACTCGACACGAAACATATCCGAAGTACAAAATTCGACCCAATTTGTATATTTCAAGTTATCAGATCACCCCGAAATCCGATCCAAACACGACACGAATTTTTTTTATTTCAAATTTTCAGATTGATCCAATCTTTTACAAACTCGAAATACTCAAAATTTTCAGACAAAACGATTCAATTTTTCGGGTTAGGTTTAATTTTGACTACCCTAATAATAATAATCTTGATTTTAGAATCACGGGACATTCGATTCTTACAACTATGTCCAAACTGGCCTCCTCTTCTACCTTTGTAACTTCCCATTTGTCCTTTTCCATCGAATTCACCGTCACTATTCTACTCTTTAACCCTATATTAAATTTTTATAATATTAATAATAATAATAATAATAATTCTGAATTGGTTTCATTTGTCTAACTCTGATATGATTAAATTAACCTCAAATATGGGTCTCCTCTCCACAGGCTTTCTGACTCAAAAGGCCCATCTACTAAGCCCAAGTCCGGCCCAATACCACCGGCAGCTGCCGGAACTTCCACCGGAGTCTCCGGCAAGTAACCAAAAAAACTTCGGAGTTTAATTTTTTTTCAAATTCTCAAATAAAAACAATAAATTAGAAAAACAATATGTCATTTGTATCTATAGATATATCGATATCGATATATATATATATATATAAGCTGCCGATGTTTAAGATAAGTACACGTCGTAGCTCGAAGATTTGATCATCTTGCAGACCGGGCAAATGCTGACAAAGCTCTCGCATTCGACGCACACACAGAGATGCCGGCACGGCATCAGCAGCACTGCCGCCTTCCTCGATTGGCAACACCGGCAGATCATTGATTTGTTACCCGGGTTCGATCTTCCGGCTCCGTCAGCTGCGGCGGCGGAGCTGAGGTAATTATTGGGATCGACGCAAGAGACGGCATCCTCGGCGTCGCACTCGCCGAACCCTTCTTGACCTTGGCCAGAATTCTGCATCGCTTGCTGAAGATTGGTTTTCAGGACATTGACGACGGACTCGTTGTACTTCGCCACGTAGTGCCAATTCTGGACCTCGTTCGTCGCCCGCCTCATAGTGTCCATAAGCTCTTTATTCTTCCGAGTCGCCGTCTCCAATTGAACCTCCTTTTCTTGCAGCTTCCTTAAAATGCTTCTCTCGAGCGTTGAGAGTAACGAGATCGTATGTCTTCGCCGAATGTCCCTCAGTCCTTTCACCATATTCTCCTCCTGCAAAGAGTCGTTAAGAAACGCATTTTACAGTGTCGATTTTTTGAAGGATTCCGAAGAAATTTGGTAAAAAGAATCACCTGGGATCGGATAAATCGATTGAATTCATCGTTGTGTTGATTGAGTTCTCTTCGGATTTCGGAAGAAAGAACCGTCGAAGTAAGAAACGAGTCGGGTCTGTCGTCGTCACAAGCGAGTCTTAAACCAGTGAAGACGGGATTCTGACTGAAAATGCTCGATTTTCGGCTGTTGGCACCATTGTTGAATGTTTCGTTATTCAATGGAAGAAGCTGCTGCCTCGGAACAGATTCAATGTCCCGGCTGCGTTTATTTGGCAGTAGAAACGGCGTGCTGTTATTGTTCGCTAGATAGTTTACGGGATTCGAATGAAATTCAGCCGGCACTGCATTCACAGGAAAAGCAACGACGATTAGACAAAAACATTTATCCGATTGAATCAATGTAATTCGTAAATAAGCAGCCGAACTAACTCACAATTTTCGCATAACTGAAGCTGATTTGACACATTCGTAGGATACTGAAACGGACTATTGAGAAACGGCGGGGCTGGTGCAGCATTGTTGTTATTGTCTTCGAACATTTTCGTTAAGGATGTCTCAAGCAGATAACGGTCGTTCTGAAGAAATTAAAATTGCCAAATCGGTAATCAAACAGTTAGAGAGCTAACAACACGAAAAAACTTAAATCAAACACATACAAGACATCACCTAAAGCTCTAGAATTAGTTGATCGTAATATTCTCAGGTAATCGTTCTTGTAGCATTCGCCATCGGCGTTTTCTAAAGTAGCGAACAAAGTAACAATAATTAACACGTCGCCGCGACACTCCGCCGATGATTTCAAACATAACGACAAAAAGAATCATTAACTACTCTTTCGTACATACTTTGATCGCCACCGTAAATATCCAAGTAACTTTTATCCTTATTACCATTGATCATCAAGTGAAAAAAACATCGAATTTGCAACATTCGGACCTTTGCGGAAAGAACGACTTTAAATCAAGTTTTTGCTCCTCGTTCTTAATCTAACAAATTTAAGATTCCTTCATTACACTCACTGATAATTAGGGCAGAAAAATGCAGCAAACTAAAACAAAGTCCTAAGCAATTCTGAAGAACAGTGATAAAAGTTCATCAAGCGATTGATAAATCACAATCAGAGAGGCTAAGATATTCATGAATTTACTCAACAGGAAGAACAGATTAGTTTCAATTCATATGCAAAAACATTAAAAACTGCTGAGAAGAAAAGGGGAAAAATCAAAGGTCGAACGATATGGATGATGATCGGTAGAAACAGAAAATTTGGGGATGCATTTCCACAGTGATTCACTACACCGATTTCAATACAAAGATCGTCATAATCGGAACCAGAAGATAACAGAATCATCCAGAAATCAATCAATCACAAATCGAATCGAATCAAACAGAAGAACAACACAGAAATGAGATCAAAACTCACCCCCAAAATATTACCTCCTCTGTAGAAATTCCGCTAACGCAATTCCTCATCCATTCTGGAATCAAAATCCACAAAAACAAAACAATTATAAAAGAGGAATCTATCAAAAACACAAAATCCAATCAACAAAAAAGGATTAGAATTAGAAAAAATTTAAAAATAAATTTAAAAAAAAAAAAAACAAAAAAAAGTAAATCACCCACCCGGTCCAGAGTAAAAATTGCAATCGAGGATGGCGTTTCTTCCGGAAATGCTGAGTAAAACAGAGAATTAAAAAGGGGAATCGAGTGGACGGGTGGTCAGAGCAATAATGGCGGTCAGGGTTTGGTTGGAAGGTGGAGATGATGTGGGCGTTGGTTACAACAAATTAAAAGCGCAAGGAATCAAGCGAAAGGTAGAAGAAAACGCTTGCAAATCAACAGAAACGGCGAGGCCCACGAAAAATCACAGTGGAGAAAGATGAATTGAAGATTAAAGAAAGTGAGAGAGACAGAGAAAGGCAGAAAGGCCAAATTTCTGGAAACACGTTCCTTGTTCGATATTCAATGCTTCCACCATTTTTTTCAACTCCTTCATTTCCCTTCCTTCACAATTCATTCATTTCTTATTTCAAGCAAATTACTCTTCCTATACATACAAATATATATATATATAAATCTATATTTAATATTTATACAAATATATTGTGAATTTCTTTGCCCATTTTGGATTTGGATTTTATTGTTTTAAAAGAAGAAATTTGTATAAATTCATAAACTTGATTATATAATTTACTGTAATTTCCCTAAAAATATAACTATAATTTTATTTTATTTGGTGCTTTTTTTGGTTTCTAAAGTAAATTTGAATATTTTATATATTTTTTGTTAATAAATATAAATATTAAAATTATTTATATAATAAAGTTCATTTAAAATGTGCAAGTTTTTTCTTTTTTATTTTTACCTAACTAATTATTTATTATTTTCCATTTTACAAGCTATTTTTATTAAAAGGGTAATCAATTTATAAAAATAAACACGATTTAAATGCATTTATTTACTATGGTAAGAATATGTAGATTTTATTCGCCCTAAATATATATTTACTGTATTATATAATAAATTTGTTGTTCTTACTATTATTATTTTGATTCATTGTAATAATCCCTTTAAAAAATATAGATGATTGTTCAATCAAATTTAAATATTTGGTTATTAATTTGTTCAATAAGTATATATATATATATATATATATTTGACCTTTTTAGAAATGGACTTTGTGCATTCACATTTTAATTCTTATTAATTTATAAATCCTTTTTCTGGATGGTTATGGATCATTCTATTCAATATTTTAGCAATTTTGATATATTAACTAGAAATTTCCTATATATATTTTTGTCTGTGGATCTTACAAAAATTTATATTCTCTCGTTCCCACATAATTTGTCCCTATTTTCTATTTTCGTCCGTCCCACATAACTTGTCCTTTCTATTTTTGGAAATATAATTATGCACTTTAATAGCATTTTAAATTTTAAATTTTATAATTTTCTTAATTTTAATTAAACTATTTACTTATCTTAATTTTAATTTATAATTATTTTTAATGATACACTTCTTAATTACTTACTAATTATACTTCACTTAAATTAATTGTTTGAATTGATTTTTCAATGATCATAATTCATGATAGAAAATATAATATTGAAAAAGAAAGTTTTTATAATATAATTGAATTGTCTATATATCAAATTTCCAATTAAGATTAATATATATATATATATATGCACATGTTTTTTTCCTAATTGTTTATTAAATAATTATCATTATACCTGTAAAAATATACTACTCCCTCCATCCTAACGAAAGGTTGTCACTTTTCATTTTCGTCCGTCCCAAAACAAGTTATCATTTCTTAATTTAGTAATTGTACTGCCTACCTAACATAATAAATATCTTTCCAACTTATTTATATTACACAAATGTTTTTGCTTTTATATTACACAATATTAATAGGGGTATTTTCGTCATTACAACTCATTATAATACTAATATTCAAAAATTTACGTGCAAAAAGTAAACGACAATCTTGTACCGGGACGGATGGAGTAGTTTTGTTTTTTGGAAAAAAAAACAATATCTAAATAATATAAATTTGAAAATTTTGTGTTAAAAGTATTCATAATAAGAATTTGTTCTTTTATTATTACATAAGTCTCAACATTTATTTGTATTTTTTATTTAAAATATATTATTTTTATTTTACAATATTACTATAAAAACAAAAATAAACAACAATTATTACTTATTTTTAATAAAAACTCTCCAAATATTTAAATTATAAAAAGAGTAACAAACCAATTAAGATGAATTATTACCAACTTCTCATTAATAACCTCTATATTGCAAAATTTAATTTTTTTAAATAAATATGGTGTAATTATTAGAAAAAACCAAAACAAAACAAACTTACCTCAAATTTTTCCCCAATTGCTTAAATTTGTTTGTTACGATTGTTGTTGTCACATCGGTTTTTAAAAATTTGAAAGAAACTAATTATTTTGTCATTAAAGACTTATATAAATTCCTATAAATTATTTAAAAATTTAATGTGAGTGGCACGCAATTGCTATCCCTACTGACATATTTTAAGAGGTTGTAATTATTGACTTAATTCTAGCCTTTTCTTTTTGAATTATCAATAATAATAATTACTATATTATTATGATGGGAAGAAAATACAAAGCTGCCAATGATAACGACTGAAATTAAATAAAATTTTAAAAAGCATTAAATTGATATATATATATATATATATGAGAAATTAAATAAATTTCACATCTTACCTCAGGGAAAAATAAATAAATAAAAATTGACCTGGGAATTTTAATATTCAATTTAGGGAAAGAGCCAAAATGGCAGGAAATTGAACAGGGGCATTTCGGTCAAATCATATTAAAAAGAATCTTTTCCAACAGTGGGTCAGAAATCATGACCCGACCCGGATCATACAGCTTTTCAACCGTAAATTCTGGCGGGTAATATTTCGTTGACCGGTCAACGGCTAGATTTATTGCACATTATATTGATTTTGATTTTGATTGAATTGAGTGCCTCTTGCTTTCTACTCTATCACCTTTTGAATATGATTTTGTATTTTTTTTTTATTTTAATTTTATTTTTAAATAATAATATAATATTATAAAGATGATATAGTAATTCAATAAAAATATCGAATAAAGTTATCTGCGCAAGATTGTTAGAATTAAAATTTTGTCGATATCTTCTCAATCAAAGTTTGTCGAATAATATTTTACGTGCATTGGTGTTTGTGCACGTGTCTGGTATTCCCCCTGTATATTTGAATATTAATCTTTTATCAAAATATAGTATAAATTTTTTTAAAAAATGGCAAAAATATTGTAATACTAATATAGACTGACGTTTATATAAAACAAAAATTATAAAAATATAAAGATATTTTTAATATTAAATATAATTATGGAAAAAATAAATATAAATTTATTAAGTGGATAGAAGGAGTATATAATTTTTGGATGAATATGAAACAAGTCAAACAACCGTCAAATAATTGATATTTAAACATTTACGCGATAAGTAGGTTCAAACTATCATCAATCATAATCGTAAAATAAAAATGATCGAATCAAATCGTGCTTGACCATCTTTTCTCGCTACAAGTCATTGCCAAAACCACGAGCCTTGTGAAGTACCATTGCATAGCGGAGACATGGTATAGTTATTGCTTCAACAGCTACATCGATCGAACCTTAACATCCTCAAACAATAGTTATGACAACATTCGACTTCTACAACAATATGAAGAAAGAACACGAAATTATCGAACCTCATTAATTATACGTTGAGTTCACAGCCCTCCTCGGATCGCCACCGCCTCCCTTATGCTGATTTTGAGGACAATGCGACCACTAAATTTCGAGGCACGAAATTGGAGCTAAGTAAGCAATTTTTCGAGATCAAATTTATTTTTCGAGATCAAATTTATTTTCCGCAGATTGTTACAAGAATTCTTACATTTTTAGCAGCAGAGCTGAATGCTTGCTTGTGAGTAATGTCCGGGTGCTTAATTTTCAGCCTCTTGATTTCTTCTCTGAAAAAATATATATATATATATATATATTAAATCACCATCTCACCTAAAAGTTCAAATTAACAGTCATATTCATCATTGTTAGATTTTCTTACAATATAATTTTTAGTTATTGGAAAGGCTAAGGTTTTTACTTGATGAAGCGATTGTAAGCAGACGGAGGGCGTTGCTTCCTCTCCGGAGCTACAAAAGGTCGTCAAACCTCGAATCAAAAACAACGCCTCGGACAAGAGTTCCATCATAAGTACATTTCACTAAAATTAAGGATACTCACGTTTATGGATAACTTGCTCGTGGCGCAAAGAGTCGTCATTCTTGTCCTCATCCGAAGAAAAATGCAGCAAAGGCCGGAATGTGTTCGCCGCCTCTTCAAAAGGCGGCTCGCATTTCAACTTAAAAAAAAAAAAAAAAAGAAAATCATTCACAAGAATCGAAGAAATTATCGTATCAAATAAATTGATCATTTTACCATATCTTGTTGCTGATAATTTGTCGAGGACAAGAGATTGCACGTGACGGGACAAGGCTTAGAAATGTTGACGGTGAGAACGCCGGCGCAATGCCCGCACGTGACGGTCACGGCCATGGACAAGCTACTGCTGCAGGGGACATTAACCTGAGGTCGAAAAAGTTAGTGATGATCAAGAAATGTAGTATTTTAGACAATGGTTAAGGTAAGAATTAAATATTGTGAAATATTACAAGCAATATTGTGCTACAAAAGCCACATCGAACATAGTAGACTTGTTCTTGAAGACTAAGGAAGTTGTCCAGAGAGGACATTTTTTTGTAAGAACAAGAAGACAACTTTTCGATTACGTATTGTTCGAGTTAATAAAGGCACAGATATGACCTGAAGGACCCATTTACATTCTATTCAGGTTTTGCATTGAAGAGGTATTTATGTTTGATTTTGATGGGTATAAATCGAATATTTATTTTTTATTCAATATATATTAATTCAAATTTGTATTATTATTTTGAAATTGTAAATCGAAATGCAAAGTAAAAAGGGGGAAAAAATGAAACGCCTGACTAAAAATGACTCTTGCCTAAATGTTTCAACTGTACTTGTCTTCATATTTAATCACTGGTTTTTTTGAGCATGGTGATGTTAACAGCCAAAGCTGGCATCCAAAAACTAACATCTAATAATAATAATAATAATAATAATATTGTGTTTCTTTAAATTAATTAAGAAATGATCTGTTCGAAAATTCAAACGTTGTTTGCATTCTTTGATGATCCCATCCCACGTGCATGCATAAATCATAATATATATATATATATATAGAGAGAGAGAGAGAGAGAGAGAGAGAGAAAGCATTCAATGGAAGTTTCCGTTTGGGAAAGCATCAACTTTTTTATTTTACTTAAAAAAAAATTTAAAAGCTTCCGAAAACTCCTCACTTTTTGTAATAATAATAATAATAATAATAATAATACATTGGATTATTACATTGTTAACTTCTTCTTTTTTTTTTCTTTAATAGATATAATATACACCATTCGTTCGTCTCTAAGGTCACATTTAAAAATATTCTTATATTTGTATAATTTTTTTTTTTACAAATATCGTTCTATTAGTATTACAGAACACTAATGGAAGTATATTTGCAATTTTTTTTTTAAGTTAGAATTATGTTTTTGATATAATAGTTAATATTCAAAAATAATATGTAAAAAATAAATGAGATCATTCGAGCCGAATGAAGGTAGTATAATATTACATTCGTCTCGTAAAAAGGATATCATTTATTTTTTGTGTTACTCAATATTTAACATTAAAAAATATCATTATATTTGTATAATTTACTTCGTATATATTATAAAAGATTAATAAAAGTATTATTTCTTTTTTCTCTTGATTTATATCGTATATCAATATAATAATTAATATTTAAAGCTATACACGAAAAAAAATCAATCGTATTCTTCTTTTGAGACAAAGGGATATTATATAGTAATATATATTATTTTTTTTAGTAATATTTATTGAAATTTTTGTGTGAACAAACTCCCTGTATTCTTAAAAAATCTTTGAAAGTATTATAAAATATAATTAATTTATATTTTTATTATATATATTAAATTAAAATTTAACTTTTAAAGTATCTACTTATTATTTTGCTTAGCTTACATAAATACGTACTTTTAAAAATTTTGGCATAAATCAATAACAATTTTTTTTAAAAAAAAAATGATCAGATTAAATATATATTTTCTCACAAAATATCATATTATATACTTAATTTTTTTTTTAAATTTTAAACATTCTCCAAAATATATTTTAAAAAATACGTATAAACTGATCTCAAATGCCTCAACATCAATTACAAAGAAATAGTACACAATGCTCTAATAAAAATTTTATTGATTTACTTTACAAATTATTAGATTTAATCGAAAATTTATTTGATAGTACATTAGAAAAATAAGTCTATGCTTACATAATAAAGAAAAAAATGTAATTATTCTTCTATTTTCTTCTTTCATAGGATTTACGTTCAAAAAAATTTGTCTCAAAATTATTTTATTTTATATTTTATATTTTAATATGTTTAAATAAAAATAATTGTTCAATTTAATACTTAATATGAAAATTGAACATTAAATGTCATGCTTTTGTTTTTTATACTTTATAATTTATTTGAATTATATTATTATTAATTTATTATTACTGTATTATTTTATTATTATTACTTATATAAATAATAATACAATTATTGTGTATAGTCTAATCATAGTTACCGTTAATTTTCCCGCGAAAATAGATCCCTCTCTATAAAATATAAATACAGCCACTTGTGGCAGATTTCAATGGTTCTTAGCTTCTTGTTAACAATCATTCGCCATCTGTCTCGACTGGAAATTCTTGCGGACTCCTCTCCCGAGGAGACCCGATCCATTCATCTGTAAAGATCCTAACGTTCTTTTCGTTTTTTTTTTTTTTTTCTTTTTATAAAAACTTTGCGATTGATGATGCGTTGCGTCGCATCGTGCAATTAGTTTGCTATTGTTGTAATCGAGAGTGCGGATCTTGACTTGGTTCATCGTATCTTAGGGTTTCTGATTCGATTTGGGGTTATTGTCTGCAGCGGTGAAGATTAGGTTGGAATTAGATGGCGAGGAAGAAGATCAGAGAGTACGATTTGAAGAGACTGTTGAAAGAGCATTACAAGCGGATTTCTGGTCACGAACTGGAGATCAAATCTGCACAAGTGAGTTCGATTTCCTTTCTGTTTTCTTTCCGTGAAATTAAATGTGTGCACTCTATTGCTTTTCTTTGGACATTTCTTTGTTTAAAGTAAATTCTTCATGAATTGAATTCTGTTCCTAAATGTTTGGTAAAATCGTCGGCCGATCATTCTGATGTTTTATCGAAGTTTTGATTCGTGTAAGGGATTAGTACGAAAACAGAAATAATCGGTTGAAAGATTGGTGAAAGCCTATGTAAAAAGTATTGGCGTTTTTCAACTATATACTCATTTTGCGTTTACGGATGAAAATCTGTTTCTCTTATTTAAGAATTCTAACAGAACTTCATGACAGCATCTGTTTGATTATCATTAATAGTTTAAGCAAATATTGTTTACTGTAATCATATATTTTGCATCAAAAGTGTGGTATTCAACTTCAGTTTATTCAACCAAATCAAGATTTTATTACTTCACACATAGTTTAGAATGAGAGAAAATTCAACTTATTTCTTCATTATGTTGAAAACTATTTCAATTCACGATCAAATAACTGAAGATTTGTGGAGGATGGTCTAGGTCACCGAGTCTACAAATGTCAATGAACTAGTAGACAAAGAGCCATGGCTTTCATCGACAAAACTGGTTGTCAAACCAGATATGCTATTTAGGAAGCGTGGGAAGAGCGGTCTTGTTGCTTTGGACCTGGATATGGTAATTGTTGCAAACCCTTCTTAAGTTAACCATCGTATGGTCCAACTATATATTCTTAGCAAATCAATGTTTCAGAGAGGCTTGGCTGTAGCATTAGCTTTTCAGAATGTGGAGGCATTGAGATTGAAGAGAACTGGGACAAGGTAATCTTAGCATTTCTTCTTGTTTTGTCTTGTATCTTTCGACTATTCTGTTTCGGTCTGACCCTTATATATGCTAATGTTACAAGCAGTTTGATTAATTCAGCATGAGTAATCCAATTATTGAATTAGTGTTATTGTTATACACTACAGTTCCTTTCTTCTCGTTGTGCAGATCAAATCTGTGATTGAGGACTTTCTTAAAGTTGTGTATGCTTTATTTTTAGGTATGGATAAAAAGTAGGCAAAATTTGGGACTTGTAGTGATATTTAAGATGATCGATTTTCACTTCTTGACTTAGATTTGGACTTCACATTTCTTGAAATGAATCCTTTCACTTTGGTTGATGGAAAGCCTTATCCATTGGACATGAGAGGCGAGCTCGACAACACTGCTTCTTTCAAGAACTTCAAAAAGTATGATTCATAATTTTGTCGATTTCCAGCTCCATTCTCTTAACATGTCACCGATCCTTACAAGCATTGCATTACATGTTACAGATGGGGGAGCTATTGAATTCCCCATGCCCTTTGGCAGAGTTATTGAGCTCGATGAAAAGGTAGTAATCTAAGCTCTTCTACAATTCCTGAAATATCCATGTCTAAAACTTACAATTTTCTTCGATCATGAATGTCAGACAATTCATCTTTGAAGTTCACTGTCCTGAATCCCAAAGGCAGAATTTGGACTATATGCAGATACTGTGTGTCACTACTCATCTTTGAGTTCTTCAATTTCATATATTAACATTATTATCTTAAATATTATCTCATTAACTTATTAAATATTATTATCTTAAATAGTGTGTCACTCATCTTTGAATTCTTCAATTTCATTGTAGTATGCCGTTCTAATTTGCTTCGAGTGTGCAACTGCTGAAACCGATTGCCAGAGGAGAGCCCTTTTGATCGGCGGCGGCACAGCCAACTTCACTGATGTTGCTGCCACGTTGAATGGCATCATCCGAGCTCTAAAAGAAAAAGGTGTCACGTTTTCATCCATAGACAAATAAATAAAGCCATCAATGCTAATAATTCTTTCAATTCTATGCTCCTGTCGTGCCACAGGAGGCTAAGCTTAAGGCTGCTCAAATGCATTTGTATGTTAGAAGAGGAGGTCCTAACTACCAAAAGGGCTTTGCAAGAATGAGATAACCCACAGACGAAATCGGCATTCCCATTGAGGTAATATGTTTTCGTCGATTGAATTCATTGTTTGATGATCATTTCACCTAGTTTAACCTAATAAGAAAATGTAGAGTAAACAATTCTTTTTAGTCTCGTAGCTGACTTAACGTAGTAACTGCATGTATACGTTTGATCTCCTACCTGTAAAAATTTAACAAAAATAATTCACCATCACCGGAGTCCCCTATTCAGGACAATGTGGCAATTCCGGTGACGGAGAATCATTTTTTCAAATTCTTACAATTGAGGACAAAACAAAAGGATCAGAATTGAAAAAAAAACAGTATGCCTGTAAATATATTACTCTTTCTATCTATTAAAATTAGCTCATTTGGGTCAGGTAAAGAAATTAAGGAAAATAAATATTTTATTGAAAAAGTGATAGGTAATTCACGATATTTTTGAAAATTTAGTTAGAAATTAAAGTAAATGAAGAGATAATATAATAAAGTTACTGGTGTTTGTTCTAAATAAGTGTGGAATGGAGATTAATAATTAAATATTAATTTATTGACTTTGTCAAGATTAATAATGAAATAAATATAAACGGAATAATTAAAAATAATAATAATAAATTTGGGGGGAGGGAGGGTTGCTATACTTGCAAAGAGAATGGCAT